GTGCACCATTGAATAAGACAAAGTCCCAATCCTCATGAAGCCAACAGTTTAGTGGGGGCCAACAAAGAAGAAGCAAAGTAGCCCTGGCTGGTGTAGCTCAGTGGATTGAGTGCAAACCTGTGAACCAAAGGACTGCGGTTCGATTCCCAGTCAGGGCACGTGCCTGGGTTGCAGGCCAGTTCCCGGCAGGGGACACACAAGAGACAACCGTACATTGATATTTCTCTCCTTCTCCCCTTCCCTTCTCATCTAAAGATAAATAAATAAATAAAATCTTTAAAAAAAAACAACGAAGACGTAAACAACACACACACAAGACAGTTTTAGGAAGGGAAGCATGCAATGAGGGGGAATAGCCTGGGTTATGTAATGGCGGAACCGGAACCCCTTAGCTAGGGAGGCAGACAGGCATTATGTGGAAGGTGGCATTTGTACTGAGTCCTCAGGTCACAGGGGAGATGGTGGGAACAATATTTCAGGCATAAGCAAGAGCAAGTGAGGGAGAGCTTGATGAGTCTGAACAGCCGGGAGGTCATGGTGGCTGGAGAGAGGGTTCTAGGAGCCAGAGATGAGATTAGGTAGAAAGGCGAGGCTGGAAGCCAGACCAGCACAGACCCTCCTACCTTTGTCAGCTAGCTCCTGGGTAGCTGGCTTGGAACCCTGAACATCCAGGCCAAAGTGCTTTCCTATCCTACCCCAGTTCACCACTCAGTTCCTGCTCCGTGCTGCACCCCTCCCACCCCTTCCCACCCAGGCCACTGGGCTTTTGCTCTCACAGTGCCCTCTTGCTGGAATGTCATCCCCCACCATATTTGTAGGATTTTTATCCTTTAAAAATTGATTCATGGCCCTGGCTGGTATAGCTCAAGTGGATTAAGCACAGGTCTGCGAACCAGAGAATCGCAGTTCAATTCCCAGTCAGGGCACATGCCTGGGTTGCAGGCTGGTTCCCTGCAGGCCAGTTCCCAGCAGGGGAGGCATGAAAGGCAACCATACATTGATGTTTCTCTCCTTCTCTCCTTCCCCTCTAAAGATAAATAAATAAAATCTTAAAAAAAAAGGTTTTACCCTTTCTATTCAATTTCTCAATTTCTACATATTGATCCTGAGGACTTAAAAATGAGAGTTAATTAGCTCATTATTCAGTAACGCGTTATTTAGGGACTAAAAGTTCAACGAATATTTGTGTTATAATGTAAATACATTAGCATGGGCTTAAATAAAGATCTGAAACTCAAAAAAATTGATTCAAAAGCCATGTTCATCTCATGAAGCCTTTTCTCATGTCCAGGTCATGCTCCACCCCCCTGCCCCACCCCCAAGCATGATTCATAGTAATAATAGTATTAGTAAGGATGGGTAATATTTGTATTGGGTCCTCACTGTGAGCCAGACTCTTACTTTTCTGAGTGCTTTTCACCCAATGTTACATGAAATCCTGAAATCCTCATAGCATTAGGAGAATAGGGAGGGGTGGGAGAGGTGAGAGGGTACACTACCAGAATAATCCCCATTTTCCGGATGCAGGAACTGAGGCCACAGAGCTTTAGGGCCTGTCCCCAGTCACCCAGGAAATGGATGTGGTTAATTTAAGTACTCCAGCTTTGGAATTGCACAGGTCTGGATTGACATCCTGGCTCTTGTTTGGTTCCCAACCATTTTAGATTTTTTTTTTCCCCTGGGGGTGAAGGGTCAGCAAATGCTGTGTTGGAGGAGGTCATAATTACAGAAGTGATGGGGTTCGGGAGGTGAGCCCTCTTGGAAGAGCTTGGGAATTAAGAAAACAGCTGGGCCAACCCTCCCTCCACCTCCACAGGTGGGACTTTCTACCAGTTCCAACCACAGTAGTTTCAAAGGAGATTGTCCAAGCCTGCCTGGTACAACACACCCCCAAACAAGAAGCCTGGAGAAGGTCTGGCCTATGTTGCTGAGGGCTTCATGGCCCATACTCAGCCATGGCCCCAGGGAAGCTACTGTGCCCCAGCATGTTCCAGGATGAGGCAGCTGGGACTCAGGGCACAGACAGAAGGTGTTTTTCTCAATCAAATGTCCTGGACACAAGAGAACACATTATTTCATATGATCTCTATGATAATTTTAGGTGTTGCATTAAATAATATTGAACCACATATTGAGAAAGTCCTACATTTTTTCAATTATTTTAAAAAATATTTAATTTTAGAGAGAGGGGAAGGAAGGGAGAGAGAAATATCAATGTGTGGTTGCCTCTCACGTGCCCCCTACTGGGGCCCTGGCCAGCAACCCAGGTATGTGCCCTGACTGGGAATCAAACCAGTGATCCTTTGGTTTGCAAACTAGCACTCAGTCCACTGAGCCACACCAGCCAGGGCCCTTCTTTTAATTCTTAAAATCTTTTTTTACCTATCAAGGAGAGAAGTTTACTCTCTCTCTCTGGCTCATATCTCTTGAACAATTCTAATCATCACCTCTGTCTTTTTACTTTTTAATACTCACCCAAGGATATGCTTATTGATTTTAGAGAGAGGGGAAGGTGGAGAGAGAGAGAGAGAAACATGGACATGAGAGAGAAACATTGATTGGTTGCCTCCTTTATGTACCCCAACCAGGGACTGAACCCGCAGCCTAGGTATGTGCTCTGACAGGAAATCAAACTTGCAACATTTGGTTATGGGACACCGCTTCAAACCAACTGAGCCATCTGGCCAGGGCTCATCTCTCTTATTTTAATAGGGCTGGGATGCAGACTGAGAGTTTTCAGAAGGCAACAGGATTTGGCTAGGATTTTCTTCTTCACATTTTATTGTGAAGTGTTTAAACATTTATAAAAGTGGAAAGAATTGTTCAGAGAATATTTCTGTACTCATATTCTCCACCACCTTGATTCCACTATTAATATAGCATTTTGTTTTATCACATATCCACCTCTCTAGTCATCCATCTATCATCTTATTTTTTGATGTATCTCAAAGAAAGTTGAAGATTTGGGGGAATCTAATGTGTAGCATGGTGATTATAGTTAATAATAGCATACCACATTATTGAAAGTTGCTAAGAAAGTAGATCTTAAATGTTCTCACCACAAAAAAAATGGCAGTTATGTGATGTGATGGGGAGTTAGCTAATGCTATGGTGCTCATCATTTTGGCAATATAAAAATGTATCAGATCAACACATTGTACAACATAAAGTTACCCAATGTTATATGTCAATTATGTCTCAGTTCAGCTGGAAAAAATGAAAAGTAAAACAGAAAATGAAGGCATCTGTTTTCTTCACCTCTAAACACTTTAGCATGAATATCATTAACTATACTTCAATATTTGTTTATAGGTTTTTTAGTAATTTCTTTTGGGATAAAATTGACATTCAATTAAATGCACAAGTCTTAAGTGTACATTTGCTAAGACAAAGGTATACACTGGAGTAACCCAGCTCTGTCAAGATTCAGAACATCACCATAACTCAGCAAAGGTTCCCTCATGCCCCCTCCCAGTTGGTTCTTATTCCACCCTTATAAGGTCAACCACTATTCATGCGTTGTGTGTGTGTTTTCCATCATGCATCGGTTTTCTAGCTAGAATTGTTTTATTTTCATTTACTTTGTCTTACTAATCTATTTATGACAGGTAATACTGGTTTTCCACATGTGGTAGAGATACATATTTATATTTTTTAAAACTGAGTCAGTCCCAATATACATGAGAATCCGGCTTAATTATTAATAACACAACCCCATTTCACTCTCAAAAAGTGTCTCAGTTTGGACCATCAATGTAGATCACCCTACCTGTAGTGGGAGGGGCTTGGTGCCCCTGGGACTCTTTGTTCAGTCCTGTAGCCCAAACACTTAGTACAGGGCTTAGCACATAACCAGTGTTGGATAAATATTACTTGAACTTACATTCATATTTTTAAAAATCAATTTAAAGGAAACATGAAGATGTGGCATAAAATGTGAATTTACCCCAAATACCATCAATGTGCACATTATGTGATGGCCCTTGGCCTCTGTGACTGTTGAGCCCTCGACACATGGTCTGTCCCAAATCAGATGTGCCGTAAGTATAACATACACAATGGATTCCAACGATTCAGTAAAAAAACCCCAAAACTGAAATATCTCCTTAGTGATTTTTGTGTTCTCCTGACCTGTGTAGTGTGTAGTTCAGCTGATTGGGTATTGTCCAGTACACCGAAACGTTGTGGGTTTGGTCCCCCACTGGGGCGTGTGTGGGAGGCGACCAATTGATGTTTCTTCTTCTCCCTCCCTTCCCCTCACTCTAAAAAATAATTTTTCTGTTGATCACATGTTGAAATGGGAATACTTTTGATACATTGGACTCAATAAAATATTTTTTAAATTTTACTTTACCTGTTTCTTCTTGTTTTTTGTTTTCTGTTTTTACTTTAAAAAAATTATTTATTTATTCATTCATTCATTCATTCATTCGTTCATTCATTTTTAGAGAGGGGCATGGAGGGAGAAAGAGAGAAACATCAGTGTGTGGTTGCCTCTCACACACCCCCTGCTGGGGTCCTGGCCTACAACCCAGGCATGTGCCCTAGATTAGGAATCTAACCAGTGATCCTTGGGTTCACAGGTGGGCACTCAATCCACTGAAGCACAACAGCCAGGACTCTTTTTACTTTTTAAAAACTGTGACTGCTAGAAAATATGAACTTAGACATGCGATTCATGCATATGTTTATTAGGTGGTGGGGCCCTGAGAGGTTGATGATGACTCACATGCATGAGTACAGTTTGGAGGGCACTCTAATTTTCTGTCTTCCCTGCTTCTAGGAGGAATAAAGGAGGGATTTGTTTTTTAATTTTGAAAATAAAAATGACATAGTCATCATGAAATAATAAGGGAAGGAAATTGAAATGACTTGTCAGAGGTGATAGAAATAACCAGTGTTGTTGACAGACCAGGGAGTGTTCACCTCCATCCTGAGAATATGTTTATGTGGATTTTGAAACTGTCCACTTTTTAAAACAAACCTAGGGACAAAGAAAGAAATGTTCCGAGGTTGCTTTTATTCCAAGAATTCGGTGAGCTCTGCCCAGACACCACTGGCGTGGGCTCATCCCACAGCACCCACACACCACAGCTTGGTGAGGGCACTCTGGTCCCCTGGCCAGTCAACATGACTGAATCTGCATTTCAGGGCTGTTGTGGTTGCCCCTGAGTGGTCCTTCTGTGTTCCCCAACTCCTCAGGTAGGCAAGTAGCAGGCCTCAATGCCCATTGGTCCCACACTTCTGTGGCCTGTGGCCTGCAGCCCTTCAGTTCCGTCTTTCTCAGAGAGTATCGCCTGGACCTCCACACTAAGAAAGGTGGCCTCTCCAGTCATAGGCTTCTTCTCTGTCCACAAGGCTCCAGATGGCCCCTGCCCAGAGCCCCTGCCCAGGCAGGGAGTGGCCATATGCTAGGCCAGAGTCAAAGTCACTCTCCTCTAGGAGCCTGGGGCCAGGCCCCAATAAGGAGGCTAGGAGGCTGCTTCAGCCATTGTGGGCTGAATCAGCATGGTGGTGGCCTGCAGTGGGTAGTAGCGGCCCCGCCACGTCTTCCAGAAGATGCCTTTCTTACGTTGCTGCCGCTGTCGAGGGATGGAGTGGAAGTACTGGCCGTTAAGGTTGGAGTGGCTGCAGGACCCAAACCACCAGCCACCTGCAGGGGTCAGAAAAAAGGGAGCATGTTTGGGCAGGGTCCTTGGGTCTCCACTGGGGCTGGGATGGAGATGAGGCCAGGCATCAGACTTTACATGCTTTAGAAGGGAGGACTCTCTGGCAGTGGTTGTCAAATTGTGTTCCGAAGAACCTCAGGTTGTGACAGAGAAGCCTCAGGGACTCTGGACTCCCAAGCTCAATACCACAGCTTTCATTTCTGTGACTGTGGCAAGTCATTTCTCTGTGCCTGACACATGGAAAACATTCATTGAAGACTTTCTGTGATGGTCATCTGTGTCATCAATTTACATTAGATTGAACCATAAGAAATTACCATTATTTCATAATTTTTTGACCCACCAAAAGGCAGTTTGATATGTTTCAATTCACAGGGCCTTGGCTTTGCCTTTGATTTTGAACATGACAGAATTTGTCTTCATAGCTTTGCCACATGCCAGCTACCATCCTACAAGTGTCTCATTGAATTTTCCCAATAATCACACGGAGGAAGCACTGTGGTTATACCCACTTTAAAGATGGGGCGACTGAACATGAGAGAGGCTAAGTCAGTTGCCAAAGTGTGCACGGCAAGTAAGGAAAAGAGTAGACCGAATGAAACTGGGATTGAAGGAAGGGCAGGGAAGCAGAAAGGCAGGTGAGGAGGCGCCACAGGCAAAACAAGGAGGGACAGAGCTTACTTACCAGAGAGGCTCTTGGCACAGTTCTTGTCCCCTCGGAGGTCATGGTCCTGGTCCCAAGTGGAGAAGGGCAGGGAGAGTCCACTGGGCGTCACAGTGGTGGCACCCAGCTTGCTGGCCACGGGTGCTGTTAGCTGCAGGCTGTAGGCAGTGTCCTCACCACCAAGCCGGACGGGGAACTGCAGCGACTCGGCATTGCCCTCCCAGTCCTGAAGCTTCACAGCCAGGTGGCTGTCACGGTCCCCCAAGATCAGATGCACCTTCTCCAGTCCCAGCCAGAACTCTCCTACAGTGGGGAAGGCCATTGGTGAGATGGGGACCCACCTCCACAGCCCCCTCTGCCCCCTGTGCCTCCAGCCACTGGAAACACCCACCTTGGGGATCTCCAAAGCCAGCCTTGTAGGCTTCCCAGGGCTGATTGAAGTCCACAGAGCCATCCTGGCGCCTCTGAATTACAGTCCACCCTCCATCTGCCCAGATAGGTACAAAGTCACCAGAACAACCCTTCTCACAGGGGACTCCAACTCCTCCATTTGGCTCCCAAACCCCAAGCCACCTCCAAACCCAGGGAGTACAATGTCCCCCTCATCCATCCCAGCAGGAGTGGAGGAAGGTAGTCAAAGGAAGGGGTACTGAGGGCTGGCCAGCAGGCCAGAGGCTCAGCCTAGGTCTCTGTCCTCAGGACCCAGTAGGGGAAGAGGGAGTTGGAGTGAAGAAGGTGGGCTGCATTTGACAGAAAGACAACAGCGCCTGGTGGGCCAGCATATCCTACCTGCAGTCATCCTGCAGCTAACCAGGAAAGGCAGGGACCCCTGAGGCTGAATCTGGAATAGTCCACTTTGCCGTTCTCCCTCTTCAAACAGCTCTTGGCAGTCCCTGGGCAGCCCTATGGGACAAAGAGAGGGGCGGGGAGATTAAAGCAGAGAGCAGTCCTGAGCAGTCCCAGGAAACATGTGTGCCTAGAGTCTGGTCAGTGGGCAATAGCAGCATAAGGGGGGCAATCCTTAATTCATGGTACCTCCCAAACACTTGCCTGAAGTCTTCCATGGCTTCCTCTGACCTCTCTCAACACTGCCTGCAAGGCATTCCAGAACGGGCCCCTGCACCTATCCGCCCCCCTCCCCCACTGCATGCCTCATCCTCTGGACACACAGCCTTCCTTGTTCCCCACACCCTCCTGCCACAGGGCCTTTAGATATGCTGGTCCCTCTGCCTCCAATGCTGTTTGCTCATGCCTTTTTCTGCCTCATTCTAAATGTCCCAGGTTATAAAAGGAATCCCTGGCCCCCAGGCCAGGCCAGACCTCCAGAAAGGGCCATCAAGGACTTCCCACTCCCAACACTGGGGCTATCTGGTAATCTCTCCCTGACTCCCTCCATTGAATGAGGCCTCTGTGAGGCCAGGGACGGGGAGTGTTTGGGGGCCAGCCTGATCCTAGTCCACAGCAGTGTTTAGTAAAGACTCAACGAATGAATGATTGCAGGAGCTATATCGCGGGGAGGGGAGCCAAGACCTGGACAGGCTCTGCTTTGTCTGGTGGGGGATTTGGATCAGGCCTGGGTGGGACTTGGGGGACAGAGGTCCTGCCTGGGATCCCAGGCATCAGAGGGAGTTGAGTGATTGAAGAGTAAAGGAGAGAGGGAGAGAGAAAAGGAGGAGGGAAGGAGGGAGAAGGTGAGGAAGGAGGGATAGCTATAGCTAGTGGGAAGTCCCACACCCAGCCCGGCAAAAAAGTAGGGAAAAGGTCGCCTGTTGGGGGTTGAGGGGAGGCCCAGGACAAGGGGACAAGGGGTGAGTGTATCCTAACCACTGCAGGGGTGGGAGCCAGCCTAGAGTGACTGGAGACACTTTCCGGCCTCTGAGGCAGCTCCCCTTTCCCCTACTTTCCTCTCTTCCAATCAGGACAGGAACCCAGCCAAACCACAAATGTGGCTTCCATTAGCACCAGCTGTTTCTCTCTCCAGCTTGAACTTTCCCCTAGTTGGCCAGACTGAGCTGAAGTCTGGGAGTCCCCAAACTCTTGAGTTTCCTTCTCCAATCCCCTCCACATCCCTCAGCCTGGACCTATATCTGCTGGCCCATCCCAGAAGCCCCCATCTCAGGACAGCAGTTTGGGAGCGTGTACTGGACCCTTCCTGTTGGGAGTGGCAGGGGAGCAGCAGAGTGGGAGAGCCCTCAAAACTAGAGGGCTGGAAGCCAGCAACCTGCCTGAGGGTGGGGCATCCGAACTTTCACCCGGTTGGCTGCAGACATACAGATGCCAGGCCTGGTGACAGGGCAGGAGAACCATAGGGAAGTCAGCTGGGTCTGAGGCCATAAACTTAGGGTGGGGCAGAGACATGGGAAGCTGGGAACCTGTGTTGACATACACAGACATGTGGTTGAAAATCTGGGGCAATTCCAGGCATACACCCCAAAAGGACCCAGAACTCCAGATGGTGGTGACAGTCAGCTCGCTACGATAGTGGGGGGTGGGAAACAGGTGAACAGGCACTTTGGGGCCGAGAGAAGGGTGAGGGACCAGGTGTTTGGGTCAGCAGCCCTAGATTTGTCAGAGATGTAAAAGTGAATGCATCTGACCAGGGGCACAGGGGTCCCCTGCCCTTGCTCCACCTCCTAGATATACACTCCAAACCTCAGAACCCCTCTCCCAGATAGGCATTTGCTGTTCACCCAATAAGAACTCCAGACTCCCTAGCTGACACCCTCTTGTGTACCACCGTGCCCTCCTAGAAAGTTCCAACCTAGGTGGAGGTGTCTCTGAGCTGCACCAACGCTTCCCCACACTCCTGCAGCTCAAGTCCCTCATGGACCCTCTTTCCCAACACCTGCTCTATTAGCGGCCAGCAAGGCTTTGGGGGACACCCACTGGCCCACTGGGGAGAAGGGTGGGGTGGTCAGGGGCAGAGCTGTGGCAGGAAGTGCCCCATCAGCCCTTCATCAGAGCCCACAGGGACCCAGGTCCAGGACCTCTTTCCTTCTGAGTAAGGTGGACGTGACAAGGAGGGGTACAGGAATGGTGTGTGTGTGTGTGTGTGTGTGTGTGTGTGTGTGTGTGTGTGTGTGTGTGAGGGGAGAGCTGCCAGAGGACAGCAAAGGGCTGGATACTCACTCTGCACATGGCTTATATTGTGAGTGTGGCCAACAAGCTGTGACACCTTGGGTAGCCTCTTCCTCCTGGCAGGCTTGGCCATCCTGTGGCCCACCTGTGTGGGGGCCAGGAGACCCACCTGGGAAAGGATGGGAGGAGAGTGTTAGATATGACTGGTTCACATCCAGGCCCATAGGTCCAGCTTTGACTTCCCTCCCCACCTGAGGCAAGCATCTGGCACCTGGCTCTGCAGATTCTGGATTCTCAGATTCTGCTTCTCCAGGTGCTGCTGCTGCTGGGCCACCTTCTGGAAGAGAAGCTCGATCCTGCTGTTCTGAGCCTGGAGCTGAGTCTGGAAGAATGTGAAAACCCTGATGAGGACCCTGCCTTCTGCCGCCAACCTCTCCGTTCACCCATCCATCTGTCCTTCCAACTTTCCATTCTCTGACGCCTGGACAAGAGAGCTCGGGGTGCCCTGGATGCGCTCCCACCCCCTTCCTTCCACACCCTTTCAGACTGGCGAGAGAGCAATAGCAGCGCAGACAGCTACCCCCGGCCGCATGTACCTGCAGGTGGCGGAGGGTATCGGGGGCGGCTTCGCCACGAGAGACTGGACTCACAGGGACGTGCGGCGACGTGGCAGGTGCCCCCGGCTCCTCGCAGGCGGCCCCGCACGCGCCCAGACGCCGCTCCAGGGCGCCCAGCTGCCCCCGGGTGCGCTCCACATGTTCTCGGAGCCCGCGGCCGAGCTGGAGGAGTCCGTGTGCCAGCACATTCACCTCATCCCAGGACGCGAAGCGCGGCAGTGGCTGCGGTGGCTCAGCCCGCGCGGGGCTGCCCTGTGCGCTCAGCAGCCCGGCGGTGGCAGCGCACAGCACCAGGGCTGCTCTGGCCGTCGGTGTACAGCGCATGCTTCAGGGTGGCCTGGGCGCGGGGACGCGAGGACTCAGACACAGCGAGCGGCACGGGGGAGCAAGGCTGACGCGGAGTCTAGAGATGTGGGGACCCTTGCAGAGGCTCTGGCGGGTGCAGAAGCCACAGGGAGCAAGGGTCTGATACAGGCCTCGAATCCTTGGTTTGGCTTGTCCCTGCGACGCCCTTTTTTATAAGGCGGTTGCCAGAAGGAGCGGGGCAACTTCGAAGGCGGAGCGCGGGGAGTGTCGGGGGCCGGGCACGGGGTGGAGTTCTGTGAGTTCCAGTCTGTGTAGATAACAGGATGGGTGCGGGGTGCCCTAGAAGGGCAAAACTCTGACTCCTCCCTACCTGTCCCTGACGTGACTTCCCTGCTGACCGTAACAGACCTGATTACCAGTCTCTCCGTGGTCCTTTTTCCAGCACCGGAATTCCAAGCCGTCCACCTAGCCCGGCTCTCCGCGCTCGAATGGGGAACGGGCGCGGGCTTACTCGAAGGCTGGGCTGGCGGCTGCATTCCTCGTGCCCTCCTTAAGGCCAAAGCTGGGAAGCGGTCGGGAAAGAGACGTGAGAGACAGGGTCCTGGTGCACTGAATCCCGCAGGGCCAGACCCATGATGTTTCCGGGAGAGCCTTCTAAGACCAGGCTGCTCCACCACCACCCGCGCCCCACCGGGAAGCGCCTCCGGGTTCCCTGACCACTTCCTCAAAAATTAGTCATGGCACATGTGTCTGTGGGTTTATTTTATTTTATTTGGGAAGGGGCAGAGATCAATTTGTTGTTCCGCTTATGCATTCATTGGCTGCTTCTTGTATGTGCCCTGACCAGGGATGAAACCACAACCCTGGCTTACCCAGATGTAGCTCTAACCAACGGAGCTCCTGAGCGGAGGCAATGTCTGTGGATTCTTTAATGTCCCTCGTCCCCCTTCCTCACAACCTAGTGCCCTGGTGGCAGGGTCTGTGTCTGCTCTGTTAAGTCTCCAGCTCAGGGCCTCTCTTCCCAATGACACTCTCTGTCCCCAGGGCTTGTGTGTCTGAGTCTTGCCTGTTTCAAAGTAGGCACCTCCTAACAGAAAGAGGGGATACCTGGAAGGAAGGCCAGCCCATTCATGCACTCACTCATTTGGCAGTCTGCTCCCCTATATGGGGTTCCTAAGCTGGTGGAGAGATTCCGGTATAGGCAAGGTTGGGACAAAGAAAGAACTGAGTGTAGCTGTGGGGCTGGACCAAGTCTATTCCACAATGGTAGGCATTTATTCAACAAACTTTCACTAAAGTCCTCCCCCTATACCCTGTCAGGAAAGACAGGTTGGCACAGAAAAATCTGCCTGCCAGGAAGAACCCGGGGCAGATTGGTTTCCAGCTCTGGCAAGAAGAACAGAGTTGACTCAGCAGGGCTCAGAGCCAGCTCGGCTTCTGGAATGAAACTGTGTGCCCCGGGCTGATGCGCAGTTCTCCACTCACACATTTGGCCAGGCCAGCTGCCAGGGATGCAGATCCCAGCAGCGGCGACAGGCAGATGGGAAGGACAGGGAGGAAAACCTCCACAAGAGTAGACCCAGACAGTCACCATCTGCCCTAGAGCCAGCCCATCCACCTTGAAGCCCCTGGCCTCCGTCTGAGTGGGAGACATTGCTATTCCAGAGTGTGTTCTGGCTTCCTGTGCTGAAATAATTGATCATTTACTTTTCCAACCGGACGACGTCTTTATTATCCATTTCTCAGGGGCTTCTTCCTCAATACCAGGTTTCAGAGGCCACAAAACAGAAAAGGCTCTCTCTTAGATGCACAGGCCATGAACAAGCTACACAAGAATTTCTCCTCACTTTGGCTGGTGTGGCTCAGTGGATTGAGTGCTGGCCTGTGAACCAAAGGGTTGCCAGTTCAATTCCCAGTCAGGGCACATGCCTGGGTTGCAGTCCAGGCCCCAGTAGGGGGCTTGTGAGAGGCAAATGCACACTGATGTTTCTCCCTCCCTTCCTCTCTGTCTATAAATAAATAAATAAATAAATAAAATCTTAAAAAACTAAAAATAGTGGTATCCTGACAGGTGTAGCTCAATTGCTTGGCCATCGTCCCACAGAGCAACAGGTCACCATTTTGATTCCAGGTCAGGGCACAGCCTGAGTTACAGGTTTGGTCCCTTTGGTTGGGACACGTATACAAGAGACAACTGATTGATGTTTCTCTCTCACATCAATGTTTCTCTCCCTCTCTTTCTCCCTTTTCCTCTCCCTAAAAAATAAATAAATAAAATTTAAAAAGTAGTGGCAAATACCTACTGTGTATTAAATATACTGTGTTCTAAACATAGTAAACATATATGTGTACTAAATATACTGTGATTCTGTATTCACTTAATTCTAATAACTCCAAACTAGGTAGGTAGTTATTCTTTTTTATAGACAACAACACAGTGAAAGAGAGGTTACACACTTGTTCAAATTCTCACAGTTATCTGGACAGAGCTAGGGTTTGAAACCAGGCTGGCTAACTCAGAGCTCTGTTCTGAGCAGCCATAATATGTTACCTTTATTCAAAATAGTCCAGTGAGCCTTGCCTTTTGATACCCATGCCCTTGTGTATTTCCCCTCTATCATATAATCAAGAGCATATTGTTAAACCGATGGTGTGTGTGACTTCTGAGGTTAGGTCATAAAATACATGTGGCTTCTGCCTTGTTATTAGATCACATGGTCCAGGAAAAGCCAGGTGCATGCTGTGGGATGCTCAAGCAACACTTTGCAGAAATCCACATGGTGAGAAACTGAGGTCCCCATTCAACAGCCAGCATGTCAGCCACGCAAGAGAGCTCACTCTTTCTTTTTTAAGGTTTTATTGATTTATTTTTAGAAAGAGGGAGAGAAACATAAATGTGTGCTTGCCTCTTACATGGCCCCTACTGGGGACCTGTTCTGCAACCCAGGCATGTGCCCTGATTGGGCATGGAACCGCTGACCCTTTGGTGGCAAGCCAGTGCTCAGTCCACTGAATTACACCAGGCAGAGCTCAAGAGAGCTCTCTTGAAAGCACATCTTCCATCCCAGTCACACTTTCAGATGACACAGCCTCAGCTAACATGTCATTAACTTTGTGACACCCCATGCCACAACCACCCAGCTAAGACTCTCCCAAAGTCCTGAACCATTAAAACTATGAAATAACAAATGTGTGTTGTTTTTCTAAGCTACTTGTAATGCAGCTGACACAATAGATAGCTAATATAATAGCCAACACTTCAGTAGTCTCACTCTATGCCTGGCACTATTTTGAATATTTTATGTACATGCATTCACTTAACATACCCTATAATGTTGGGATAGTACTGTTTTAAGCTTCATTTTGAAGAAGAGAGGAAACTGAGGTATAGAGCAATCCCATGGTTTGAGAGAGGAGGTGTGAGGGCAACAGTTCCCCAGGATGATTATGACCACAGTTGGCCTTAAACCTGCCCCAATTATGGCCTATTTTGAGTTCTGCCAGGGGTGACAATGAGTGCTGCTCCCATGAGTTACAACCCTTTCACCTGTTCAAATTTGCACGGAAGCCAAACCCCCTCTGCCATCTATCGTCTTGCACACATATATAATATATATGCATATGTGTAATATATATGCATATGTGTAATACATATACACCTACATAAGACACACACACATATATAAAATACAGAGAGAAAGAAAGGTAATACCCACACATTATTTTTTTCTGAATCATATGTTGCAGACATTATGTATGACTTTGCCTTTTACTAAGAACAAGGATATTCTGCCCAGCTTGTGTGGCTCAGTGGATTGAGCACAGGCCTGTGAACCAAAGGTTGCTGGTTCAATTCGCAGTCAGGGCACATGCCTGGGTTGCCAGCCAGGTCCCCAGTGAGGGGCACATGAGAGGCAACCACACACTGATGCTTCTCTTCCTTTCTTTCTCCCTCCCTTTCCCCTCTCTCTATAAATAAATAAATAAATAAATAAATAACATCTTAAGAATAAGGACATTCTCTTACACAACTATAGTACAGTTAGCAACAGGAAACTCAACCCTGACATAATACAGTTCTCTAATCTACAATCCATACTCCAGTTCTTTCATCTATGCCTGTCGTGCCCTCACAGCCACACTTTCCTGCAAGGTCTCATCCAGAGCCACACATTGCCTTGCACTGTGGTGCCTCTCATAACTTGGAACTGTTCCATGCTCCTCCTCTGTTCTTCATGACATCAGCATCTTTGAAGTGCACACACCAGTTATCTGTAGAATGTCCCTCCCTTGGTGTTGTTTGATGTTTTCTCCTGATTGTGCATGTTTGGCTGTGCTGCTGTGTCCTTCTCTGGAAATGACATCAGGAGACACACATCAGTCTGCTTCTCGCTAACACCATTAACTGTGACCATTAACTGTGATGTTTAAATTTTATTTTTTATTGTAGCATAATTGACATATAACATTATATTAGTGTCAGGTATACACCATAATGTTCAATGCTTGTAGGTATATATGTATGTATACTTTCTTTTTTAAAAATATTTTATTTAGCCCTGGCTGGTGTAGCTCAGTGAATTGAGCACAGGCCTGGGAACCAGAGGATCACGGTTCGATTCCCAGTCAGGACACGTGCCTGGGTTGCAGGCCAGTTCCCTGCAGGGGACACATGAGAGGCAACCATACATTGATATTTCTCTCCTTCCCTTCCCCTCTAAAGATACATAAACAAAATCTTTAAAATATATATTTTATTTATTTACTTTTAGACAGAGGGGAAGAGAGGGAGAAAGAGTAGGAGAGAAACATTAATGTGTGGTTTGACTCTCATGTGCAACCAGCTGGGAACCTGGCCCACAACCCAGGCATGTGCCCTGACACGGAATTGAACCTAAGACCCTTTTTGGTTTGCAGGCTGGCACTCATTCCACTAAGCCACACCAGCCAGGGCTGTATGTATATTTTCTTTTTTTTAAATATATCTTATTAATTATGCCATTACAGTTGTTCTATTTCCCCCTTCATTCCCCTCCACCCTGCACACCCCCTCCTCCACCATTCCCCCCCCCTTTAGTTTATGACCACGTGTCTCAAGTTCTTTAGATTCTATATTTCCCATACTATTCTTGTCCTCCCCCTATCTATTTTCTACCTACCATCTATGCTACTTATTTTATGTACCTTCTCCCCCCTTCTCCTTCTCCCACTCCCCTGTTGCTAACCCTCAATGTGATCT